GTGTTTCCACCGGTGAAAAGAATTTTCACATTTTTCATGGCAAATCTCGTTTTGATCCATTTGAAACGTCATTTAAATCTTTTTAGTCTGGCATTTCCTCTATAAAAATCGAAATTTATTTTACAAGAACCTGCAGTTGAGGCTTTAGACTGTCGAAAATGAATATTAGAATTTTTTCTTATTTTTTTTTATTAATATTAACGAACATGTTTTTAAAAGCACTGCGAGGTTATTGAAATTATTCATTCGAGTTTTAAAATGCAATACTTAAAGAATCAGATAGGATTAGGAGAAGTGCGCACAATTAATTGAATTTGAACTTCATTTATTTTTAAATTATTTTAAGCAGAATTAAAAATGAAAAGGCGACTTTTAACAAAAGCCGCATTCCTCCATTGGACATCTGCAGAAAAGATTTAAGGATCAGTATGTGGACATTGTAAGCGGCAACTATTTGAACACGGCTGCTATGGGGTTGCATATTCATTTCATGGAAGGAGATTTAAATGCATGTGCGCGTCAATAACATAGCGTTGCCACCGGTCCCAAACAGAAATCTCTGAGGCAGGCGTTGCCAGCGTGACTTTTTTTTTGTTTTAAACAGTACTTGGACCTTTATAATCCATTTTTGTGTATTTTTTGTACAATTAGTTGCCCTCTTTTTATTCTGACTACGAAAAAATCAATTTCAACCTTGGTATAAAGTTGTTTTCTGTTAGGGATAACTTTATTTTCGTATAAATTTATGAACGACCATTCCTGTTAAGACACCGCATCAAAGAAATCCACTCCTGTTACCACTACCCTCGTTTGTCTCATAAGATAATGGAAGATTCGTTTGCAATTTGTTCAAATGGAGAAAATTTCGACACCCTCGAAGTGGCTTTGGAGTGATAGCGTCGTCAGGCATTTAAAATCAACTAAAAATGAAAAAATCGTGGTAACGCCATTACGGTTTTAATCACCGCAATGTCAGCTGCTTTTTACAATGAAGTGTTTTAAAATAAAGGTCCATTATATTTAAAGTTAAAAAATAATTACATCTAATTGTGGTGTCTCTCATAATTGAACTATTTCCTACGTTTCATCGTTAGGTTTGATTTTCAGATTTGCGAATATATTAATCAGAAGCTTGAGTCAAAAATCAATAACAAAAACATCCCTCGAACGGTGCATTCTAAAATAACAAAAAAATAAAGAAAACACGAGCTACTTAATCGAGAGACACATTACTCAAATTTCTGTGCTTCAGTTTTATACTGATGGAAGCAATCTTTAATACGTAACTAATAACCCTCTAAAATGTTAAGCTATCCTTAAAACAGGAAGAAATGAAATTACGAACAGAACATAACCAACATAAACTACTCAAACCGGAAGAAAATCTATCTTTTGACTTAGAAATAACAGTTTTAAGTAAAGACCAGCAAAATGCATTTAAAATTATTGACAGTTTGAAGTAATGAATACAATAAAACCAAAAAATAATGATACCGGCGCGAAAGATTTTGAATTGTCTCTCACCACCATTTTCATGCAATGTGCACTCTTACTACCTACTCCAAAAATAAAATCAACTAAGCGTTTTTTGTTCACATGTGTGACGCTATTTGTATAACTTTCCTGCAAATCAAGTCAAGTTTTTAGTCAATTTTTGCGGCGACCTGTAACAGTCGTGAACTTTTCTTAAAATATATCTCGTCAAAGTTTGCAAATACTATGACTGAAGATAGGGATTTTCCCCTTCATCCTCCGAACTGGCATCAAGGATATGCACCTAAAGATATGTCTCCTAAGACTTTGAACGCACCTCTAAGAAGTAACTTGGAGTGAAAAGAAATAATTGTCGATAAATAATTAATCCTACTGAAATAAATGGCCCTAGATAATACTCAAGCATGTACAATAAAATATTAAAAAATGAGCACTTGGGTCCTTAAACTTAAAATAATATCACTTTGAATTTTAGGTAAATAATTATAACATGTCTACAATTTTAAAAGTATGGCAGGCTAAGACAATTTCTGGTAATCTTTTCGTCGTGTAAGAGATAGGCCGCCGTCTCGCAACTTTGGTGAGGTTTAAGCGTGCTTTCAATTAATCGATCTATCGATGAAGTAAACGATCGATTAATGAATCAGAAACTGATCACTCAGACGCACCCTCTGATTTCCGGGTTAAAATCAGTTGATCGCATAGCTCTAGAGTGAGATTATCTTTTTCGAGATTCCCCATAATTTTCATCGCACCTCTTTAAAAATAATGAAGTTTAACAAGTGAGTAATACATAGGTAACCTGATAACAAAATTTTAACTCTAAGCGATTACAAAAGTGTTTCAAGATAATTATGAATGTTAAATAAACCGCGAAATTATCAGAAACGTCTACACGTTTAACATTAAAGGTCAAATGCAGACGGGTAATAAATACCATTATTTCTGAGTTAATTGGTCCTGCAAATATTCAACAGCGACAGATTTTACTGCAGGTACTCCCATCGCTTGTCACTTCGCGAATGTTTCCAATTCCATCATACTCCAAGTAAAAGAAGTTTGCAATTGTTTACTATGATTTTGATGTCAATTGCCCGTTCCTCCATTTTCTGAAGTAAGATTAATTCAATTGCTCTAGTTCTGGAAAGGAGATACATCTAAAAAATGGATGATATCAGAGTTTAAAGTCTAAGGTTAAGGAGGTTCCAGAGATTAATACACAATGGCATGACCAGATGCAATAAAAGTATACCTTAGAACAACTTGCTTGGTTCTGTAAAATCGAAACGATTTGGGCTGGATTTCAAACGCATTCATGACTTGACCTCCTTTTGATAAATAATCTTAGAACTGAGGCAATTCAGGTGAAATCTCATCTCAAAAAGGTTTGTGAGTTTAAGAGGGATGCAAGGGATATTTTTAGTGACATGACAGCATCCATAGAGATGGATTGGATTTCACGTTTTTCAGAGAATGTTTGTTCAAGCTGAGTTCGTTTGAAAGCATGTGTCCGCATAACTTCTCTTTTTGTCGGAACCGCAGTTGAACCTTGAGCGTATAAAATCCAACACGAGTACCCAATACTGATATGATAAGGGCTTCCTAATTGATAGGGTCAGCATTTAAATGCCGTTACAGGTTAATTATATAAGGTAAAAACAGTCTAGAATAAAATGTACCGAGAGGCTTAACATATTACCAAGGGGCGAAAAATACCTTTCGTGGAGGTCGCCTCCATAATTTCAAAGGGAATTGACTTTAAAGTTGTTTTTTGATGGTGATACCATCACCAAACTAAGCAGTTTTTGAATAGCAATGATATGTATCTATCTAATTTTCATAAAAACATTGCAAAACATCTACGAGGTTAAAGTTCAAATACCGACTATACAGTGTGAAGATGAAGATTTAAGTTTGGTGACGGTATAAAACTAAAAAGGCACCGAATGTCGAAGATGGTCCAAGGTTTCGCTAGAAAGGAAATATTTAGACTCCGCGGATATCGAATATAACTTTCAAATTGATGGCGATTTCATCGTTTCGTTTCGAATTTGATGTGCCAAAATTGTTTTACAGGTGAGCTTAAAGTAGAAACTTGTCTTTTTTGACATAAAAATGATACCTTCGGTTAGGTAACCTTCTTTTAGAAACTGGTTCACAGTAATACAACGGAGGATACGGGAAAGAGTAAGAATTATTGGATTGAAGTTCATTTTTCTTTCCTGTTTGCGATGATGAAATCCCTGTGTTTCATACTCACTTGAGCATAATACCTCAATAATGGTAAAATTTGAAGCATGACTTACCACGCATCCGATCTACTTCTGCAGGCCGTTTAAGAAAAACGCTGGTTTTCAACATTCCAAAAGCACCGGAATATGAATATTGCATCAAATGAATTAAAATAATTACAAGGATGTACGTTTGAAACAACCCAATGACCAATACTGCCGTGCTAAGAAAAAACGCTTTATGAGCCTTTGGACTTTCCTAAATTTCCTTTGATGAAAAAAGAATTTTCCGGGAAACCTGTGAATATGTTTCCATCAATTTTTCAGAGAATTTTATTCACTTTTAGATCTCATTTGAACTTATTTGTGTTGAAAGGAACCAGGGGTGGAGAAGGAGTGTGCTCGTTAGCAGGCCCGCCACAAGGGGGGGGATACTGGGTCCTTGGTACCGGGGCCCGGGCCCTGGAGGGGCCCGTGACGCAGGTGACAAACCACTACGAATTCATGTGTAACCCTTGTCTCGTAGGGAAAAGTGAAAAAATTACCCTAAAAATTCCGCAAAAGGTGAATTAAGTTTCAAAAACACGCTAGGGCACTATAAAATTTTTCTTACTTTTTTAGAGATTTTCAAGATTTTGAGTATATGTAGAATGATATTTTTAGTAACTGTGTTTCATTTTCTTCCGTTGTCGGATGCTAAGAGGCTCCTTTCTGGGCATCCTCGACTTCAATGGCTTAACTCCCTTGCCATAGACGTACGAGAGGGGAGTCCAGGGGGGCCCGGCTCCCCATAGAATTGAAAATTATCATCTGTCCCCTCAAAAACAAATTTATAGATGTTTTGAATGCAACAATTCGAAATTTTTGGTGCTGAAAGTAAACAAAAAGGCGTAATTATTCTGCAGAAATTGATGGAAAATCTCCATCATAAGAGCTTCATAATGGGCCAAATAGATTTAAAATTTCAAAAATTTCCCGGGGGAGGCCCCCCGGACCCCCTCCCCCCCGTGCTAGGGGCCCGGGCCAGAAAATTGGTACCAGGGCCCGAGATGGGATGTGGCGGGCCTGCTCGTTAGTTGAGGGCCGTAAAAATCAATGGGAATTATAAAGCACCAGTGACGTCAGCGGCGACGACCGACCAACGACGACTCTCCCCAAAAATTTCATCGGAGGAAATTTGGCAACTCTCGAATGTTCATTCCGCGTTTTTTCCTTGGCAGGGCAGAACACCGTCCATAAAGATTACCCTATGGTCTTTCCGATGTAATATTCTCATTCCAGCGGGCTGATTGTTGAAATTGAAATTGATAGACAAAGCTGTATATGCAAAGAAGACATAGAGAATATGGAGTGATCTATTGGTTGACGTTGCTTCCTATAGACGAAGGGGGTAAATGATGGACTAACCATAGGCTCTCCCGTGGGTTCCCGTTAGTTAGTGTAATATCTATCTCCTTTGTCCATTGCAACCACCCGCTTTCACCAATGGAATTTCTCAATGTCCTTTCTGTCTTCTTTTTCTATAGCTTTGTCTATCAATTTCAACAATCAGCCCACTGCCCTTCGAACTAATTCTTTGTGAGCGATGCAACAATGAAACTTGGAACTCGAAAGAAGTCGGGGTGGTAGGAGTATGGGTGTGAGAGTAGGGAAGGGGGAGGGGGGGGCTTAAAAGGGGCAGTAGATATACTTGTACTCGAAGGCTAGGGAGACGGCGACGAAACAGAAGTAGAGGAGGAACATGGTGAAGCCGAGGCCCTTGTTCATCTTCCAGTGGAAGCAGGCGATGGCCATGATGACGAAGACCAGCATGCAGAAGAGGATGGCGATCGAGCAGACCATCCCGACGCTGTTCACCTCCACCGGGCGCCCGTACACAAGCCCGTACATCAACCAAGGCACTGGCAACCTGAAACACACCGGAGAGGATAGAGTTATAATTCAACGTACTCGTGTAATGGACCACTAGACAAGGTACGAATTCAAGCAATCTGATACTAGTTTCTAAACCAGAATTTCACGCAAAACACGATTTGCGCAACGAAAATTACTGAAACCAACTCCTAACGAAGATATTAACGTTTTTATTTCACACCGGTTACGAGGAATTTGAACTGCCCGCTCACAAGAAACTCATAGCTCTACGTGAGTCAAATCGTACACTACAACGGTGTCAGCAAGCTTCTAAAACGAGCAATTTTCATTTCCCACCATGCGTTGTTCAAACTATAAGCAATTTTCTATAGCTGAGCCAAAGCGTCAAGATCGAGGTTGCCAGATTTTTATATCGCAGAGACTGTCATGATAACGTTCAGCGCGCGATGTGAATCACGTAGGGCATTGAGTTTTCATGAGCGGATGGTTTGAATTCACGCATCAAGAATCATTAAATATCTTCGTAAGAAGTTGATTTGGTAATTTTTGTTGCGCGCATCTTGTTCTACGTGAAATTTTGGTCAGGAAACATTTATTAAAATGCTGAAATTCGTACCTTGTCTAGTGGCCCATTCAACGTAGTAAAATGAAACATAACTCCTTAGTGGCAGATACACCTGCGAGGTAGATGCGCGTCTTGAGCGGTGAGCTCAAAGCCTTTAGCCGTGTTCGGCAATCTTCGTAGCCAATCAGCAGGGTGTCTACTAAAATAGGCTGGCCAAAAATCAGTACTTTTGCAGTACTTTTTCTGTACATTCCCAAGAAATTCAGTACCTTCTTAACAGAAAAATTCAGAACTTTTTCAGTACCCCCGATTGATGAAATTCGAAGAATTTCAAAGATTTGAATTTCTCGCTTAAAACGCGACAAAAATGACAAAAAATGAAACAAATTCCGGACCTCCTTGCGGAATTTCCACACTTTTTCAGTACTTCCGGACCGATCTTAAAAATTCAGTACTATTTCCGGACTTTTCGGAAATTCCGGAATTGTAGACACCCTGATCAGGTTCCAACTCGCCGCCCGTAACTTGCTCAAAGTAGGATCAGATCCTTCTTTTCGTGTCAAGACTCGCATGTAGCACACAAGTGTAACTAACCTTTTAAGGTCTTGTTTTCATCAGCGTACCTCTATAAGGAGAGCACAGACATGTCGCAATAGGGATCTAGAAGCGAAGTGGGCACTCGCACAATATAGCCGCAGATCGTACCTCGTACGTCGCGGGAATTCAAATTGCCACGTATTTTCATGGGGAAATCACGTTTTTCCACGCAAAAGTCTTTTCGTGAGGGTAGAAATGAAAAGCTTTTGTGGATGGAATGTATTAACAGCTTGATGAAATGCTGCTAACAGCTTTGTGTTCTAAAAGTTGCAACTGAATATTAATTTTCCTCGATGGAATAATCGTGCTTGAAGTGAAGCTCTCAAATAGCGGGAGAATCTGAAGTTCTTTCGACTGCACGAGATTCATATTCTTCTATCATACCTACTCTGCACGACGGAACTAGTCCATATCGCGCCCTTTTGCGACTAGTCAACGATCCAAGACTTTCATTGGTTGGCCGGGAGATTCCATCGTTCTCTGCCGTGAGGAGGGGGATGCGAGTGCCCACTTTGCTTCTAGATCACTGTGTCAAAATATGGAGCTCTTAGAGCCAAAAAGAGCAGCCAATCTTTTCCTGCATGCGAAAAATCTCATGAAAACGTCTCGCGGAGGCAAGGGCTTATATGTATGATTGAATGAACGGGTTCAGTCTAAAATTACATTCACGCTTTACCTAATTTTCTCTCGTGTTTTATCTTTTTAAAATCGAGAACTAAACGACTTGAAGACGTTAACATTTCTGTAACTTTACCCTAGAATACGAAGAATATACTTACAAAATTTCAAGTTTCAGTGATGCTTAGGTCCCTGTTTAAAAAGTTAACAGATTTCATTAATGCTTAGTTCTCTGCTTAAAAAGTAAAACCCGTGAGAGAAGCAGGGACTATCTGCCGTAACTCGGCTTATTCCGATTGAACCGTCCAATTGCCCATACGCGTGTCACGCCAAGCGGTAACCGCGCTGTGTTTGGCGCGCAATGCGTGAAGTATTCGCACAGTCTTTTAGGCGCTAATATGCGCTCCGCACCGACCGGCGCGCGGCGACCGCATTGTTTGGCGCAATGCGTGAAGTATTCCCGCAGTCTTGAAGGCGCTCACACGCGTTCCGCGCTAACCGGCGGCCGCACTACGTGTGGCGAGATTACAAACGATGATACAGTATTAGATTTGGAAGAAACTGCAGAAACAGAGGAGAGATGAATTGGACCACATTCTGCAATTGGGAACTATAATTTCTGACTAAGTTTAGAAATAACTTATGAGCCATTAGTTTCCCGATGCACAAAAGTGTTTTTAAGGATGAGCCAGAAATTTTAGTTCCTAATTGCAAAATGTAGTCCAATTGAAGAAACTATCAGGAACCCACACACGAACCTTTGTTAAAAAAATTTGAGGAACTTCTAACGAATTTTTTGGGCGACATCAGAGCAAAAAAACCATTGAAATTTGCAGATTTTTAGCTTTCATCCATACTCGCGTCTTTGGGAACGCCAAGCTGACATTCGGAAATGTCCCTCTCGTCGCGGTCACAATTTTAATAACGCCAGTGGCGTGGCGTGAATGATCGACTTTCGATAGTTCTTCATTTGAAGCTATTATAAAAACTCGATTATTAAGGTGTTCACTGCGAACACACTGTTTATCGATCTTTTCCATAGGTCTAAACGGCAGATCAATCGATAAATCGCAAAGCACGCTACGCCGCTGAATAACGCGTTCCCCTTGCCCTGCCTCCGCGCTGCCGTTATCAGTGCTCGGACAAGGCTTCAAAACGTAGTTTGTAACACTGAGCAGTGGTAATTCTTGCAAGTTGGCAACACCGTTTTTCCTCCATTTAAATGTATGTAAAACAATCGATTCTTGGTGAGGCAGTTTGTCTCGCCCGAAATCGAGATTTTCAATGGATTTAAACGGAGGAAAAAAAGTGTTGCCAGCTCGCAAAATCGACACTGACACTTAGCAATTAAACTTCTACTCCAGACGCCAGTTCGGCACCTTCAGGCGACCTCGTAAGATGTCGCTTCCGCATCCGCATCCGCATCTTAACGTCTCGAGGTGCGCCGCGGTAGCTGTCCAAGATAAATGATGATAGATGGCGTTTGTCGTTTTCCAAAACGATACCTATCGCCGGGAGAAAAATGCGAGACTCATACAAAATTTCAAACTTCACTCGCGTTGGATAAGGCTTGATCGAGAATTTCTCGCGGCGCTGAGTCAGCCCCAGAGCTGCTGCGTATTAGCCGTGATTTATTCTTGTCGGAGTTGTGTTTCAATTGGACATATTTCTATCAAACGGAAATATGTGTAATAAGACATGAACCTTTAAATCCTTAAGAATACATGCATAACAGGGCTCACGTCATAATGCACATAGTTCCGTTTGACAGAAATGCGTCCAATTGATCAATTATTGCGCGCAAGTTGGTTACAGGCCTTACATGTCGACCCTTGTGGTTGAGGAAAAATGACATAATTTAATAAAAAAGGTAACTTTACTTGGGACTATAATTTGCGACTAGAAACCAATATTTTTTGCTCATTTTAAAAGCAACGTATGACCTATTAATTTTATCACGCATGCAAATACATCTCCTTTTTCTTCATCCTCAGTTTCTTCCTCACCTCTTCCTTGCTTTCTTCCTTTTCGCATCTCTAGTTTTTCTATTCTTTTTTATCGTCATTCGTTTCCTTTCCTTCTCTTTCTTCTTTTATCTCTCTTTCTCCTTTTCCTCCTCTTTTTAACCCTCCCCCCTCCTCCGTTGATGAATAAAATGCGTCGATCGTGATAGTTTTTGGAGTGGTATCTATGTTAAGGAAGCGCGTTGATGACGGCGCAGAGATACAACTATTCGTGCTTGATGGATGTCCGTCTTGCGTCTGCAAAATTGAAGGCGCGACGGCGCGAGGCGTGAACATGCAATGCTTCGCTTCTACGCTGCCAATGAGGTGTCTTAGATTCGGGGAAAAAATAAAATAAAACGAGGCCCGAATACGTCTCTCCCACCTTCGGTTATGTTATCTTCCGATTTTTCCCCATTTTTTCAATTGGATGTCTGATTCTTTTTTTATGATGTTTTTTGAGAAATATACATAAAAACTCGAATACGCCGGCTCCATACAACCCTCGGGGTAAGTGTTTTCAGGGAGCCTCGGATCAGTTCGACCCGGCTTGAGCATCTACGAGTTAACCAAATTGCAGCGAATAAACTATTATTTGGAGCTTCAAACCGGTTTTCTTTACAAAGAAAAATATTAAACTAGCCTCCGATTAAAGATGACTTACCCAACAGTGACGTCAAAAATGTTACTGCCGACGGACGAGGACACAGCCATGTCACCGAATCCTTTCCGCGCGACTATAACACTCGTGATGAGGTCAGGAATGGAAGTACCTGCTGCCAGGAACGTCAACCCCATCACCTGTAACAAGTCAAATACATCTTTTGGAATATATTCGTTAATAATCGAAGTGCGAGAGTAAGGGGTGGCTGCGGCGGATAGTATGACCTCGTTTGCCCGTTAAGGTTTAGACAAGCATCTAAGAGAGCGAGGTGGTAGAAATTGAGGGTGTCACTACCGCGGCGGATGACGTCACAAACCCAATTTTGTAAAGCGCGATATCGTCACCCTCCGTCCAACATATCACAAGCGCCATGCGACGTTTGAAAATTTCCGCCGCCATTTTATATTTTTACAGAGAACTTTTTGGCTAAATCTGTTTGAATATTTCACTGAATTTTATCGGCAACACAAAGAAAATTCAGTGAAATTTTCGGCCAGCCTCGTTGACAAATTTCTCCGTACAAAAATGAAATGGCGGCGGAAATTTTCAAACGTCGCGTGGCGCTTCCGATACTCCAGCCGGAAGGTGACGATATCTCGGTTAATATTCAACGTAGGAAGTTGCTGTTTTGACAGATTTTATGTCTTTAGCCGATCGACAAGGATCAAGCATCAAAACACGATTCCGAGACCGCAGCTTATCCGACCCATCCACGGAATGCGATCTTTCCCCGGTTCTCTCGTCTCATAAAAATTTCACCCAAGCCTTCAACCATTCAAACAGGGGACCCAGAAACAACGCCTCGGATCTACGTGTCGTTAATCCCTCCGCAATGAAAGTCATCAAGAACGTGGAAGCATTAAAATTACCGTCCGAGGCCGCCCGGAG